TGGGAGCAAAATAGGGCCCAGAGTGGGTGACCCTTCCTCCAAGCATCCCCTGCGGAGAATCAGGACCGTGCAAGGGACGCCCTTGCCTCCTATCAGGAAACTTGGACTCTCGCAGGGCTCGCCCTTCCTGGAAAATACTGCGGGGAAGAAGCATCCAAGTGGGAGAAGCAAGCTGCCAAAGCAGGCAATTTCTCATGGCTCTGACGGGAACCGGCTATTTTCTCCAACCCCACCTTCCTGCTCTTCACTGCGTCTTCTCCCCACACCTGCCTCATCGTCCTCTACCATCCCTTCCTTTCTGGTTTCCTTATCCCCTCCTAAGTAGACTCCATCCTCCCCAAAATATCTTGAACTCGCTTGGCACTTGCTGCCACATCACAGTTTACTTTGCCTCCGTGCACGTTCTCTCCTCCCTCCATCCTGTATCCGCCTTATCCATTTCGACCGCAGTCTCTTGCGGGTAGCGACTGTCTGTCTCCATCCCCGTTTGTGCACTACCTCGTTTTTGGTGAGTCCTTTGCCGTGACCATAATAAAGATGATCATTAATAATACGTAATTAAAGGCTTAAACAGATGACTTGCTGCTCTTCCGTGCCTCATTACAAGGCTGAGGGGGCAGAGAGTTGGGGGTGGGGGAGAATTGCTGTTCTATAGTGATAGCGTTTATATATAGGTTAGAAAAGCCTTATAACAAAAGGTAATACTGAAGGGACGTTGTAGCCATGATGGCCCAGCTGGGGATATCTTTTATTGGACCGCCTCCATGGTTGGGATAGACTTAGACAAGCTTTTGTCTAAGCAATTTTTACTATGGTAAAAAACATTTCTTATCTTGCAGTTATCAAGAATGTCACCTGTGGGCCTTCCCCACCTTTGTAAGGGGAGCAGGGAGAATAGGGCCAAGAGAGTTAGTTTTCAGACCTTAACCGAAAGAACAAAGGTGTCGAGTCTTTAGCGGAGTTTCCTTTCTTCAAAATGCTAGGCAGCGCTTGAAGTTTAAACAGGGTCACCCAGAGACAAGGTTAAAATTAACAAACATCCTCTTCCCCTCTCAACTGCTTTGGCTGGACAGGACTCCAGTTTTCCAAGGACTCACCCAAAACAGATGAACACGCACCTTTCAGAACCACTTTCCTTGTGAGAAAATTAAAAAAAAAAAAAAAAGCAACCAACTTTTCTCTCCTCTCCCACCAAATTTGCATGACAGCTTCAGCGTGGAAATGGAAACAGGAACCAAGGAGAAAAGAGGAAAATAAAAAACATTTTGAAAGGCTCATTTTAGTTCAGATTTCGTAGGTTAGAAAAAACCAAAACACATGCACACTGGAGTCTTTGGGCACTACGTTCTAGCAATCTGAATTACAGGGACAGACATCCAAAAATAATGAGGTGCCAGCTCAGCTGTAGAGCATTTATGAGCTGATCTGTCTGCACTGGTTTGACTATTCCTACCCACAACAGCAGCAACTGTCTTCGGCCATTTGGGCTGGGGAGTCCTTGCCCAGAGCACGCGTGCATGGCGTTGGTAAAGACTTCATCTACAACAATAAAGAAACACAGCTTGCCTTTTACCCTGAAAAAAGTGCATGTGGAGGCACTGTAGATACTGGGGCCGGCTTAAATTGCCTTTTAGGATCCTGAGCGCAGAGGGACAGAGCTGATGGATGGCTGGCTGCCGCAGAAACCCTGGGAGGTAAACATGGCAGTTTTTCCATTGCAAGCTTCACTCCAGCTGCCTCTGGGATTGAGGGGGTATTTACAAATCTCTAAACAGATTTGGGCCCTCAGC